TGGTAGATTCTAACTGAGTGCCTCTGAGCTGGCATTGCAACTTCCTAGCATCCAAAGCCCTTCACACTCAGACTTCATAAAAAATGATAGCCACTTGTGGGAGCACTGATGGCCTAGTGCGTAAAGAGTTGCTCTGTCAACCCAAAGCCAAGCAGTTTGAATCCATCAGCTGCTCTGAGGGAGAAGGCTAAACAATCTCCTCCCATTTGATTTACAGCCCCTGAAAACCCACTGGAGGGTCAACTTGGAGTTGCATCCAACTGAACAGCAATAAGTAATTACTTATTGGGTGATACTGTTGCTGCTGTTGGACAAAAGACCACTGGAATGAAGGAATGTAATACCCGGGGCCGCAGGGATAAAGGGGTCCTTAGTTCATCCCCACCCAGCCGCTTCCCTCCGATTTCCATTCTCCTGGCACTGCCTGGATTCAGTTCATTCCAAAATCTTTTCCTTCTACCTTGTCTCCTCCTCATCCAGCATTCTGTTCTTGCTTTTCAGATGGTCCTCAGGGCTTCTTCACCCTAGAGCCACTCTTCCGGTCTTCTCTCTCTCCTTTTGTAAAGTTACAGCCACAGGACGAAGCCCTTTCCTGAGCTGCTTTTTTTTTTTTTTTAATTTTTGTGTGCATGTACCGTCAAATCAGATCTGACTGGTACAGGAGGATATTGCGCCTCCTTCTCCGGCAGAGTATCTGGTGGATTCGAACCGTGCGCCTCTGGGATTGCAGTGCAGTTTCTTGCCACTAGGCCACCAGAGCTCCCCCTTTCCTGAGCTTTTAACGCTATTTCATGGCCCTGTTCTCTTTCCCTGCTGCCCCCTCCCCACTCCATCTCCGATCTTAGCCTCCTCCCTCCTGTGCGAGTGGCCTGGCTCCATTTCAGTCCTAGTCCGGGTATTTGTTGAGGAGGGGAGGATGTTCTTATCTTTCAGCATAGCCATTTCCCCTCCCCAGGGAGTCTGGTTCCATAAACACACATCAGCAGCCCTAATGAGGGTCACCTGCTGGCCCTGGGAAGTCACCGCATGCTCCCCGCTTCCTTGAGGACAGTGGAAATATTGCAAATGCTGCATTTACATGTTTCCGTTCATTCACTCCCTCAATACTGATTGAGCACAGCCAGATACTGTCCACTGGGCCCAGGGGACTCTGTGGGGATGGGGGTGGGGGCACACTGAGCACACGTGTCTAAGGCTATGCTGGAGAGTTTACATGCTTCTTCGTGAAGGGATCTCTTATTAGGAGGGGAGAGACCTACATAAATATCAAACATTATCCAGCCTTCAATATGATTTACATCTCGACATCAAGGTAAGAAAACTCAAACATCTCACCACTGGACCAATAAGCAACATCATGATAGATGGAGAAAAGATTGAAACTGTAAAGGATTTCATCTTTCCTGGATCCATAATCAACAAGGTAGAAGCAGCCAAGAAGTCAAGGATATGTTGCATTGGGGAAATCTGCTGTCAGGGACCTCTCCAACGTGCTAAAGAGCAAGAATATCAATTTAAAGACTAAGGTGTACCTCATTCAAGCCATGGTATTTTCAACTATTTCCTATGCATCTGAAAGTTGGAGAATGAATAAGGAAGACAGAGGAATCTTTGAATGATGGTGCTGGAGAAGAGTACTGAATACCCCATGGACTGCCAAAGAATGAACAGATACATCTTGGTAAAAGTGCAGCCAGTCACTGTAATCCCAGAGGTGCATGGTTCAAATCCACCAGATGCTCTGATGGAGAAGCAGGGGCAATCTCCTTCTGTGCCAGTCAGATCCGATTTGAGGGTACACATACACACACACACACAAATTAAAAAATTTAATAAAATTTAAAAAAATTAAAAGTGCAGCCAGAGGGCTCCTTAGAGGTGAGGATGATGAAGCTTCGTCTCACATGCTTTGGGCACATTATTATGAGGGGAAATGACATGATTCTTGGACATGTGAAGGGTCACTGAAAGAGAGGAAGAACCTCAATGAGATGAATTTACACAGTGATTATAACAATAGGCTCACACATATCAGAGACCACGAGGATGGTGCACAATCCATAATGTTGTTGCGAGTTGTAGTGGTTGACTCAACTCTATGGCACCAAACAACCAGCACAGCATTAGGCGGAAAAAACTCACTACCTGAGCTGCTACTCCTGAGCTCTCATCCTCTCAGCCCTCCATCTTTCCCAGGCCTTTACCATTCCAGGAATATTAGGGGTCACTCAGGATCAAAGTCTAGGGGCTGGAAACGCAGCCAGGCAGGAACCTAGCAAGTTTCCAAACTTTTCAGGACATGCAGTGAGTGTGCAAATCTATACCTCTTCAATTCTTGGCCCACTGTATTAAATGAGTTCCAAAAACTCAAACTCACTGCTATAGAGTCGGAAGTGACTCATAGCTGACCCTCCGGCAGGTTTTCAGAGGCTGTAAATCACATGGGAAGAGATTGCCCATCTGTCTTCTGCAGAGAGCCTGGTGAATTCAAACCTCCAGAGAGAGGCCACCTTTCTAATGTAGAAGAAGCCAGAGTACAGTGAGCTACACACATGCACACAGATTCAGACCCCAACACATATACACTGATGAATTCACTGACTGACACAATAATATGATAACAACGATGACACACACATTCCTTTTTACAGACATACCAACAAACACCAAAACCATACATACAAAAACATACAATAAATACATACCAACACACACATTGACACAGGTATGTACAAAGACACCTGCAACACACATCAACACACAAAGACATACATGCCTATTAACACGTCAATACCAACATGTCCTCCACATGAGCCCTTCTTCCTAAGCTCTGAAGGCCCAGGCCCCAGGTCTTGGAGCGATCAGAGATAGAACTAACTCATAGTTGACCTTCCACTGGGTTTTTGGAGGCTGTAAATAGCAAGGGGGGAGATTGCCCATCTTTCTCCTTCAAAGGGATATTGGATGCTTAAATCCCACACTTGGCCCTAGTAGGCGACCTCGTGAAGGAAGCCTCTGCTAGTAGGTCCTGGGATGGAGGGCGGTTCTGGGGATAGGCAGATCAAGTAGAATTTCAAGCTAAGGTGCAGGAATGTCTGGAGTTGGTCAGCAAGGAGTGTTAAGGGACCCTGTGCCTGCAGCAGTCTGACCTCCCCTCCCTGCACTGCCTTTGCAGTTTTAAACTCTGGTTAAATCCTCCCACACACACGCCCCCATCTGAGCTAGTGGTCTCGGGCTCTTCCCTGCCCACTCACTCTAGCTCCCACCAGGGAAAATTTGTCTCCCCCAGGACTTTCAGCCCTGGTTTGTGGCCATCACTTCTGACTCCCCTCCCCTATCTGATTGGGGCCCAAGCCTTACAGCAGTCCCCCAAACACTATCCTGATCGTGCTCACCCCAGGCCTCATCACCCCTGTGGCCCGCACTGGCTCCAGCCACCCCTCCTCTGCTGTTGGTTCCAGAGAGCTACTCTGTGCTGGCCAGGTGGTTCCAGAGCTTTTTCTGTTCAGTGGGCACCCTTGTATGACTGTCCCTACCTCTATTCCCCTTCATTGTGCCCCCACACGGAATCCCCTTACCCCATTGCTTCACGAAACACGCATTAATTGGGCACCTCCTGAATGCCACGCACAGAGCTAGGCACTGGGGCTGCATTCTGGTCCCCAGGCTCTCTCGTGAGTGTGAACAGCACTGTCCTGGCGGCGGAAGCAAGCGTGCGCCAGGGAAGAGCTTCACGTAGCCATTCTGCTGTCTAGCCTCTCCTCATTCTCCTAGACTGGGCTCGAACCCTGCTCCTTGTTTCTCACTCTTTTTTTCCCCTCCCTCTGTCTGCTCACTTTCCACATCCCTTCCAGGTTCCCTCATAAGCTTGAAATACCTAAGATACTGGGGGTCCCTCTCCCAGATCCGGGAGGCTGCCCTCCCCGCTGTCCTCTGACATGGAGTGGAATGTCCCCACCTGCCTCAGGCTTCCGCGCGCCAAATCTGCCCAGCTCGCCAGTCACAAGGAAGCGTACCAGAGACTATTCCTGGGAGAGCCTGGAGGGCGCAGGGACTGGAGCGAGCCACCAGCCCGGGGACCCGCGTTGGCGGGCCAGCAAAAACTGGAGCAGGGCCGGCACAGCCTTGCCTTTGGCGGTTGTTCCCTCTCCGCGCGCCCAGACGGACACCTTGTCCATCCTGAACTGGTGGAGGAGAGCCAGGGCGAGAACCAAGCACCGGGCGGCCGCTTGGTCTCCCCATCCTCATTCTTCTCGCCCGCTCTCTATCTTGGGGGGCCAGCCCCCTCTGGGCTCCCCGCGGCCCAGCACTCGAAGGGGTAGGTCCGTGGGGGGCTCCACTTGCACACCAAGAGCCTATGGAGCTGGCTGGCAAAGAAGGGGACTGGTCCTCTACAGGTTGAGGAGCTGCATGTGTGAGCTCCGCGCTCCTCGAAATTACTGCTCGCTGACCGGAGAGTCTCATACCCTGGGTCCAAAGAAGCGTCTTGGAACCCCTGTCCTGGGGCCCCACTTGTCACAGTTGCGCCCCACGGCCGGCCGCACTGCGGCTCCCATGGTTGCCCCCATTCTCAGCTCTGCGGTGGGTTGCAGGTGCCGCAGCCACGCTTCTGGCCTCAGTGGCTCCGGGGGGCCTGGGCGAGGGGGACACTCCAGCTGCAGATGTCTCAGAGCAGCCTCCTGAGCGCTCGCTGGCACAGGGGAGCAGAGTGGGTGCGGGCACGCGGAGGGGGAGCGGTCGGCTGCAGGGCTCAGGCGCCCCGCGGAGCCTGGAGGGGGGGGCAGGGCCAGGGGCTCCCTGGAAGCCCCCAGGGTCTGAGGACGCCTGGATGTTAGGCGAGAGCAGGGGGGTGTGACAATTCGCAGAGGTCGGGATGTACCACAGAGTCCAGCGGCAGGGGGGGCCGAGAACGTGGTCACCAAGGGGAGCCCCCGCCCCCCTTCTCAAGGCCTGCGGCGGGGGCTGCGGAGAGAACCGGGACCAGCTCCCCGGGCAGGGGGCGGTGCAATCCATCTGTCCCCTCCTACCCCCTGCTTCCGGGGGGTGGGCGATCCAGGAGAGCTTGGGCCGGAGTGGTGGCGAGGGGGCCCCTCCCCGGCGCCTCCCTCCCTCTCTGGACTTGGTCGCGCCCAAAGTGTAACACTTTCTCTTTGTCGAGCAGCTCGGCTGTTTCCTGTGCGGTAGCTCCCGTTGCGGCGGCGCCGGCAGCAACCCTGGCGGACTCAGGAGCGATGGCAACAACCGACATAGCTCGCCAGGTGGTAAGTGCAAGGCTTGGGAGTCCCGGCTGGGGCCTGGGGGCGCCTGGGAAGGGTCGCGGAGAGGCGACCTCCTCCCCCCTGAACCAGCCAGTGGGCAACATCTAGGAGCCGAGGGCAAGTGGGACCGTGGCCGCCGGGGTCAACGGCTCCGTCCACTCTCTGTCCAGTGAGCCCAGTGGCAGGGGGCAGGTGGGGGGCTGGCAAGGCTGCAGGCAGGCGTCCGGAGCGCCGCAGTCGATGCCCGCTGCCTCCCTCCCTCCCTGGCTGCAGGCTGCGGCCCCGCGGCTGGGGCGTTGCCGAATGAATGGCCACACGAGCTGCGAGCCCTCTCCCGGGCCCTGGCACCCACCCTGGCCTGGTTCCCTCTGACCTCTGGACTGCGCCCCTGCATGCCGCTGCCTCTGGGACCTGAGCCTCCTTCGGGAGAGGGGCGCCCACTTGGGGTTAGCCTGGGGCAGGAGCCGGCGAGTGGCTGGGGGGGCGGGGAGGTGAGTGGCTGGGCTGGGGCTGCTCCATATGCATTACATATGTGACTGCGTCTGTGTGTGGATGTGTGCGCGTGTGTGTGCACGCACGCGCCCTCGCGCCTTCCCTGGGCGGGCGCCCCGGCACTCGGGGTCACCCGAAATGAGGCTGCCGGTCCCTCTGAGTGTGTGCTCGCCTGCAAAGTGTGTATCCGCGTCCGGACGCCTCTGCTCGGGTGCTTGGCCTCTTGGTCGGATTTGTGCGCAATGGGCTGGCCTGTAGGTGGCTGACTGCGTATTTTGGGCATTTGTGTCTTCTGAGCTCCTGACCCCGGCTTTCGCGGGCCTCTGGGGGGCTTGTCTCGGGTGAGCGTTCAGTGAAACTGGGCTGCCGTGCGCAAACCTGTAGCACTGGCCTCCTTCTGTGGGGAAAGCACGAGTCTTGCAAAAGCAGAGACTGACTCTTTTATTGGCAACCAACTCTAAAACAAAAAAATCTTTATTTAAAGAACTGAAGTTTTCTAGCTTGCGATGTGCAGAGAATTCGTATTGAGACAACCTGAGCTTCATGTTTGGTGTTTGGGGTTGTTTGTTTTTTTTTTCTCAGACCAAAAGTTTGCTCTACAGGGCAGATGTGACTCTATTTAGGGGAACAGCCTTTCTCTCTGGGAGTATCTGGGCATTTACAAAGTGCACAATTACCAGCGTCCAAGGGGAAGGAGGAGAGAGAGGCAGAGGTAGGTCAAATCTGGTGATACTGCAGCCTACTTCATGGACGCTTCTGAAACACTAATGAGTTTTGTGGGGGTTTTGCCTCCATAAATCTTGTGACTTATTTAGGTAAATGGCCTCTGTGATCATATAATTCCAGTGTGTGTGTGTGTGTGTAACTCCATAGCCTCTAGGTATTTGATGTAATTGCAATTGATTTGTTTTCAAAACCCAAATCTAGAATCTGGTAGTATTTATGTCCACCGGATATGTATGAATTCATTTCCCCCCTCTTTCTCCTTCCTGTCTAGAAGGACAGAGTAATGTCTTTGGAACCTCTCCCACCTGCCTCTGGCAACCCCAGATGGAGTCCGTGATGTTAGAAGGACCAGGGGGAGATAGGAGAAGCAGCTCTGTGATAATGGAATCGGAGAAAAGTCTCCCTCACTCAAGATTAAAGCGGCAATATTTACTGCTCTGGTGTGTTGCAGGCCCCCCGGGGTGCTTTTCTGCTCCCAGTCACCCATGTTTCAGAGATGGCATAGCTGCAATCAAGAAATTAGTCTTCAGGATTACACTTGTTCCATTCTTAGTGGGGGGGAAAAGCCACTAATGATTTTTCCTGTTGGCTAATGAATTTTCATCGACCTAGCCATGCTCTCTCACCAGGTCCCCCTGGCCTGAAATAGGCAGTTGTTGCAAGGGGAGAGACAATTCAGGTTATGTTTCACCTCAGGCTCAACTCAGGCAGTCCCCCGGCCTTTCATTTCTTCTTTACAGATACAAGAGGCAGGTAGGACCACTTGGTTTGCTTTGTGTGGCTCCAGTTTGGTCCAGCTGGACTGTATGATGCAGCGCATACTGTGTGATCATAGTCTGCCAGATTCCAAAGCTGAAAGAGCAGTCCCTGCACTTGAGATTTTGTTATCATGCTAAGTGGGTTTCTGGGAAAGCTGACGTCACTTGCCATGCCCCTCTTCCCCCAACCAGTGCAGCTCTTGTTTATGTGTCATTTGTCTCTGCTCTCTTTTGTGTCGGCTGGAAGTTTTCATGCACTAGGGGAAGATAAAATTGACTCCAGAAATCTTGGATGGCTTGTTGCTGCCTGTTTCTTCCCAGAGTTTGGGGAGAGAAAAGTCACGAGTAAACCTTAGTGGGCCTAGCTTAGCTCTTGCAAATGACCTGTCTCTCAGACATGGTGCTGTGTGTGTGTGTGTGTGTGTGTGTGTGTGTGTGTGTGTATAGAAAAGGCTCTAGAAAAGAGTCATTTGAGGATCAGTGTGACTATTACTGTTACGTACTGTCCAGTTACAACTGACTCATAGCTGACCTTCCAGTGAGTTTTCAGAGGCTGTAAATCACATGTGAGGATATTGCCCATCATTCTCCTGTGGAGCAGCTGTTAGATTTGAACCAACCACCTTTGAGTTGGTCACACAATTCCTTACTACTAGGCCACCAAAGCTCCCTATAGTGACTAAAGGGGAGCTTGGAATGGTTGAGCAGGACCTATATATTGGCATTGTCTTAGTTATCTAGTGCTACTCTTAACATTAGTGATGTTCTAGTGGCCTAGTGGTTAAAGAATTGTGCTGCCAACCCAAAGGCACACAGTTCAAGTCCACCAGCTTCTTCCTCAGGAGAAAGATGACTGATCTCCCTCTGAAAAACCACTGGTGGGCCAGCTATGACTTGGTTCTCACTCAAAGGTCATGAGTTGTTTGTTGTTGCTATAACAGAGATATGAGTTAGTGATTTCAACAAACAAATTAATTTTCTCAAAATTAAGTTTTATGAGACTGTTGTTGTTAGGTACCATCAAATCAGAACTGACCCATAGCTGCCCTCCAGTGGGTTTTCAGAGGCAGCAAGTTAAACAGGAGTAGATTACCCATCTTTCTCCCATGGTGCTGCTAGTAGATTAGAACCAAGTACTTTTGGGTGACAGTACAACTCCTTACCACTAGGCCACCAGAGTTCTTGTTGTTGGGTACCATTAAGTCAGAACCCACCCATAGCTGACCCTCTGGCAGGTTTTCAGAGGCAGTTAATTGCACAGGAGGAGATTGCCCATCCTTCTCCTGCAGAGAAGCTGGTGGGCTCGAACTATGTGCCTTTGGGATTGCGGCGCAGGTCCTTGCCACCAGGCCACCAGAGCTCTCTAAGCCACCAGACTAGACATCGTAATTCAGGGTCCCGGCTCTTTGGGAAGGCTTTCTGTTTCTTGTCAACTTTGGAGGAAGCTCTTTGCCTCTTTAAACTTCTGTTTCTGGCTGATCTTCATGTGGCTTGATACCTCTTTTTCCTCATCCTGACTTTTCTTAAGCGCCTTTATCTTTTTTAAAAAAAAAAATTATCTTACGGGAGTTTGACTGAACACAAACCCCACACACTAATCCTTTCTCATTGATGTAGCAAAGAAAACCATTCCCAAATGGAATGATAACCACAGGCCTAGAGATTAGGATTTACATCACATATTTTTAGGGTGATTCAGTTCATAATAGACTGGCATGCATCATCAAAGTTGAGCTCTTGTGTACACAATGCAATCCCATTTGAATGAACACCACTACGAATTTTGCCTGACAAAGTGATTTTTTTGACATTGTATACGTGAGTGTTTATATATGTGGCCAGAGCTATGGTTAACCACTGTCTATACTATACGATAATGAAAAAAGAAAACCAACTAAAAGGCATGATTCCTAGCTTTTAAGTTTATGATCAAGTTTTCAAGCTGTAAAAAACCCTCATCGCCACCGAGTCAGAACTGACTCATAGCCGACCCTCCAGCAAGTTTTCAGAGGCTGTAAATAACAAGAGAGGAGCCTGCTCATCTTTCTCCCTCAAAGCAGCTGGTGGATTTGAACTACCTACATTTGGGTTGACAGCACAACTCTCCCCCTCCCCCAACTGGGCCTCCAGAGCTCCTTAGTTAGGAAAATTGTGCACTTTGTGATATCGCTAGAGAGCAAAAGATTCTTGGGCTGCTGCTTCCCTCATCGCTTCCCACACTGCCGATGAGGTAGTTTGGGCTTCTACTGAGACAGAGAGATTACTGGATTTGTTCAAAGATGAGGCTGCCCCTGGGACTGTTTCTTCTGGCTCTGGCACTCAGATGTTCCATTCAGTCTTGCATTTTTGGGGTACAATATATGAGTACTAGCCCAGAGAAAGCAAGTTTCTGATTCTGAGTTGAACCAGTGCCACCAAGTGAACAAAGACACTTTCTCCAGTGGCAATCCAGGTGTCTCTCCCTAGTAAAAGAACTTGCCTGGGCTAACTTTGCCCTACAAAGAACTTACATGAGTTGAACCTACAACAGCTCCAGGTAACACAGTTGTGGTATGGATAGCCACTGCATTCAGGCCTTCCTATTATGGCAGTTACACTTTGAGTCCATCTTGGGGCACCCTAATTAAATAATCCCCACCACCTCACATTATATGCAGAACAGATTATCCAGGAGGCTGGGCTCTATGAGAAGTGTGGCATCAGGATTGGAGAAAGACTCATCAACAATCTGCATTATGCAGATGACACAACCCTGCTTGCTGAGACTGAGGAGGACCTGAAGCACTTGCTGTGGAAGGTCAAGGACTGCAGCCTTCAATATGGATTGAGGCTCACTATCAAGAAGACAAAGATTCTCACCACTGGGCCAATTGGCAGCATCATGATGGATGATGAAGAGATTGAGATTGTTAACAGCTTCAGTTTGCTTGGCTCTACAGTCAACACTCTTGGTACCAGCTGCCAGGAAATTAAAAGACGAATTTCATTGGGAAAGTCTGCTGTCAGAGACCTCTCCAAAGTACTGAA